TCCCCTGCAACGCCAGCTGCAGCGCCAGCTGGCAGATTTGGAGGGGGAGCACCATGACCTGTGAAAGTGACACGCGCATAAACAGCCACAATTCCGGGGATCTTTTCACGCAAAAGACTTTCCGCGCCATCTCCACCACCAGCTGCTACCACCGCAGCTCCACCACCTCCGAGAGTGACACGCGCATAGACAGCCACAATTCCGGGGATCTTTTCACACAGAAGACTTTCCGCGCCATCTCCACCACCAGCTGCGACCACTGCAGCTCCACCACCTCCGGACGCAAATGCCCCATGAGTGAATGCTGGGCCGTCCATCGGGCACCTGGCCTCCTGCTCCCGCTTGGTGCACCAGGAGTAACAGGTCGTCACGGCTGAGTTGCCGGGCAGCCTAGTGCGAAACAGCAGCAACTGTATTCAAATTTCGAAGATGTCCAAGGCGGGCACGTCGTTTTTTCATATTCTTCTCCTGCTTTGCCAATGCACGGTTGGCCGCGCGCATCGCGGCCCGTCGTTGCTTCAAGTCATTCAACTCCTCCGCGAGGACCTCACCAAGGAACCAACATTTTGCGCAACAAGAAGACACCCCACACAAAGCTTAGACCGCCTCCACGCGATTCCTCTTTGGAGGCATGTCCTGATTACAAACGGAAACGGCACGCGCGTTTCAATTGCTTGGCGTTACAGTCCGGCCTCTGCGCGCGTTCCCACAAAGAAACCGTTTTGAACACACAGAGCTGTGGACAGGCGTGCATGCACTTCTCACTGTGAGGCCTAACCTAATTACTCGGCTGCGCTGTGGGCACCCACATCAACATTGAAATGGGGAAGGGAATGGGCAGGGCGGTGTAGCATTCTTGTAGAGAAGCGCACCGCTGCACAAATCAAGAGTGTACCCAACACAAATCACGAAGAGTGCCTGTGCACTGTACCCAACACAAATCAAGAAGAGTCCCTGTGCACAAATTGAGAAGTGTACCTGTGCACAAATCGAGAAGCGCACGGCTGCACAAATCAAGAGTGTACCATCCACAAATCAAGAAGTGTATCACTGGCAACAAAAATCGAACGCCAAATAGCCGCAAAAACTGTCAAGGTGTGAGCCGCTGATTGCGGAATGGTCCGGTTCGACTGTGGTCACTGAGTTTGACATGGTCAACTGCGAACCTGGGTCTCTGTGTTCTGGATGCCGCAGTTCGCCAAATACCGCGGTCGAGTTGGGCTGCGGTCACTGAATTCGAGGTCAAGTTCCAGTGCGGGTCTCCAAATTCAGGATGGCGCGGTTCGCAAAAGATATTTGGTCATATATTTGCACACTAACATGTTCATACTCTATATGTTTGATTCACGGTTTATGTGACCAAATGTCAAAAAAGTCAGAGGGCAAGATAGCCACGTGAAAGGACAATGTGGCTCACCTTCTCCAGGACGACCAAACGGTCGCGCGCAGGATGTTCTGAACAAAAATGACCAATGTGGACACTGAGTTGGAGACGGTCACGTTTGCACACCAAACTGCAAATCTTAGAGGCGCCTAAAACAGGTGTAAGGCGCATAACTATGTGCGTGAACAGCGACACACCATGTCAAAACATGGAGGAACAGCAGTTTGGCTTGCTAACACCCACAAACAGAAACACATTCGTAAAGTTGCGTCCGCCCTTTCAATGGAAGCCTGGGCTCCCCTCTCAAGCAAATGCCTATGCCTACGCGGGATGCCTACGCAGGGTACTGTCACCAACTTTAGTCACATCAGGTGACTCGAAAAGAGCTATATAATCCGCAAGTAGTGGCCCGATGCGACTGGGTCACATCAGGTTCCTGTTTATCTTTCCCCAAGACCCTTGAACAACTTTTAAAGAAGTCTGAATAAGAAAATTCAGGCTTTCATGAAAAGGGTGCCTACGCAAGACTGCCTACGCAAATCTTTCAACACCCACCTACGCAAAATGCTTACACGACGCCTACGCCCCAAGCAGAACAGCCTCCGCGACTTCTCAACAGTTCCCTTTTTGTATAAACCTAATCATTTGCAAAAAAAACGTGGCTCATATGGCCAAAGACATCCTCATCTTCCGGCTCCTGACAGATGGACTAATTCCATTGAAAGGCCGATTTCAAGTTTCAAGTTTCTGCTGCAAAATTCCATGGAATTAAATCGTAACATGTTCCACACATGGCCGCACCTGCAACATCTCATCGGAAGCTGGCAGTGGCAGCACCGCCGAAGAGGAACTGGTCAAAGAAGCACTGTTCTTACGAAGATCAGAACCGACCTCAACAAACCACATCCTCCGCTCAATCGCCACCAAGTGTTCCTCATGCCGGGCTTCGTCGGGCAGGAACCCACGCTTGTCCCAATTGGTCGTGAAGCACCGCATGCCCGGAGGCAACATACCATCCTCGTGTCGGCAGGACGCAAACCTGCAAACGGTGTTGTCCAGCCAGGACTTGGCGTCATCAACCGAAGCAGATCGGAGGCATACATCGTCAACCAAAAGAGATGTCGTGCTTTGAAACAAACATCGCTTGACCACATCCAGCTTGTCCAAAAAATAGTAAGCACCGTGTTCCGCCAGCAGGGCGGCGCACAGAGCCGTCTTGCCACAGTTCCCAGGCCCACTGAGAACCAGTGTGCGATCCAATCGGTGTTTGTCACGCCATTCCTGGAGACCGGGAGGAATCTCGAAGTCAGCCACGCCGAACTTAGAAGTTGTATGAAGAAGTGTTGGGGGCATCTTCTCCGAATTCCAAGCACGCAGGCACCTGGCCAGAAGCCGCTCTGGATGGATTGCTTGGCCGACAAAATTCCAAAGAAGATCGTGCCCTTTCAGTTTTTGGTCCTTGGCCAACTGAAATAATTGCTGTTCCGTTTCCACCCCAGCTTCTATGACCAGGTCCGTAAACTCCGAAAAGGACAATGACTTCCGACGCTTGGTCGGACGCTTGGAGCACTCTTCCGGTCGCTTGGACGACGCTTGCACAGCAGCTTTGACACCTTCGTTTCCATTTCGATGCAGCTGACTGTTTGAAACTCTGTCCATGATCTCTGCCGCGTGTGATGCTGTGAAACTCTCTGGCCAGAAGTATGGTTCTGGATCGATGTCTGCGCCTATCTTCTTTGCGCTTTCTCGGAGGATGTAGTGCAAATACACGGCAAGGCCACACAAATTGAACGTCCAAAAACCTTTTGCTCCCAGCGCAGACATGTCCTGGTTCACTTTGTAGTGAGCGAACGGCCTCTGGAATTTGACTACCACATGATAGTGTTGCTCTCTACGCTCTGTTTGAGCGTCCCACTTTTTGTGGGGCTCGGATACGATGATCATTTTCTGCCTCGGCTCCACAAGCTTGGCAACAGCGCTTTGCAAGAAACCTTTCCACAAGAAAAACTGGACAATCGCATGTCTTGGAAGAATCTTGTGAGCAAAAAACAAAACTAAATTGCAATCCAGATGCAAGTCACCTAGTAACCCCCGCTTCTGCAGAGCCGAGCGAAACTTCTCAGCCAAAGTCTGCTTATCCCAATCGATTGGCTTTAGAGTGCCCAGCTGAACTCTCATATCGAAAGTTTTCCCGTAGCATCTGGGACACGGCCACGTCCACATGCCCACCATGCCACGTTCCCCCGAACGTGCTGGCGGGGCACTTTCATCAGAGGAAGATCCCTTGGCTTCTATGAGTTCGATAGGCGTCTCATCTTCCGACGAGGAAGATGAGGAAGACGGCATTGCGCAAAATTGTGGTGAATGCTTCTGTGCAAAATGCTTTTGGCCTGGAGAAAACGCAATGTTCAAATTCCGGGCTTTATAAAGAAGAACCTTTGGCTTCTATGATTTCAGATACGGCGCGGTGCAAACTTCTGGAGAATGCTTCTGTGCAAGATTGGCCTGGAGAAAAGGGTCGCATACGGCATGGTGCAAACTTCTGGAGAATGCTTCTGTGCAAAATCATGGTGGGCTGAAAGGAAAAAACTTAGGGAATTTTGCAAA